AACGGTGCTTATAAAGCGCTTACTACTGAAGTCTCTAGTATTAGCGCTAAGAAACAATTACATATTGAACAAAACAAAAAATGACGAATAAACCTACAAATTACAATAAATATGAAATATGTATAGGTTAACAAAGACAGACAGAGGATGTCATGGTCAACAAATGATTCTTGAATAAACATAGATATTTGTATTATTGTTAATGTTACTATTGAGCATTTGGCATCATCTGTGCATGGGAGGGGAAAAGTGTACTGAATCACTGTAACCCTTGGGTCTCTCCTCCTGGGGGGTGTTTCACAAAGATCCTAAGTTGAACTTATCTCTAAGTTGGACTTGAAAAATATGGAAAGCCATTAGCATCTTTGAAAATATTTTGTAAAAGTTATTTTGAAAGGCATTCATTGTTTATTGAAATCATTCATATTTTCTATCATCAAGGAGATTTCATGTTCTGGATGTGGAATTAATAAAAAGTCTAAAATACTTGAATTTCTGCTTTTGAATATATTTCATTTAAAGACTCCAATGGCTGTCCATAATTTTTAAGTCCAACTTAGAGTTAAGTTCTACTTAGGATCTTCGTGAAACACCCCCCCTGGTGTAACTGAATGGGATGTACAGGTGGACCTCTACACTGGGGTTTCCCCTTACTCTTGTTCAAATAGTGCAGTGGGTTTTGAATGTGCAAAGTTGGTGACTCTCCTCTACACAGGACCTCCATTTAACATCATATCGAAGGGACATAACAGTGTTTCCACCTGTAACCTAGCCTGCATTTATGAAACAGGGGAGGGGCACGTTAACACAAAACACAGGCTTCAATCGTCAGCCTGGGTTGGATTCAATCCTAAGATCTCTGGTCCGACAAGCAGACACTTTACCAACTGAGTCATCTCACTTCCCCATATTCATATTCAAGTTATATTTTGGATAGCATAACATTATATTTCATTACAAGTATTTTCTAAATAAATGCATTCAAAATTATATCTCTAACTCATGCAACAGAGATCATTTAAAAAAAAAATGCAACTTGATAGGCCAAGGAAAGGGGAAAAAAGTCCTTTGTGAAATATATTGATGGTAGCTACATGAATGTTCCACAGAGGTAAAGATTTCTAGATGTTCATGAACCTACCCTGATCAACTAAGGCTCCTATGACCCTTGTGTTGTAGTAGTCTGGTAGGAGCCGTTCACATACGGCTGTGAGAAGCCAGAAGGCCTCTTCTTCATTGGCATACAGGAGCAGCACCGATGTGACTATGTTCATTGCTTGGCAGTAACCTAGGCAAAGGAAAAGAAAACCAATCCAATGGAAAAGGCATATTCAACCTAGTTCTTAAATTGTAGCCTTACCTTGTTACCTTATGTTTAATAATTTCACTTTTACTTGCATCATTGATATAAATTGTTTATAAAAAGTGCTATATATGTACATGTAGAAGTTATTATTAGTAGTAGTACAACAGTCAAACCTGGTTTAGTGACCACCTGTCTACAAAGACCACATTTTTTGTTTCCCTTGAAAATGGTTTCTCATTGAAACATGTACTAAAGAAACCTGTCTACAAAGACCACATTTTTTGTTTCCCTTAAAAATGGTTTCTCATTGAAACATGTACTAAAGGAACCTGTTTACAAAGACCACTTTTTTTGTTTCCCTTGGGTGGTCGCTATAGACAGGTTTGACTGTATATCATGTATATACTGTTTAGGAAATGAGATTCCCTTTTCCCTATTTCATTTAAAATACGCATTTCAGTGTAATTATAGAACACAAGCAAGATGTGAGCACTCAGTTACTATTACACAAAAAACTGTCAAACTACTAGTGATCACCTTCAAAGAAATAGTCCTTGTCCATAATGACTAAATTGTTTGTTTCCTTTGAAGTGTTTCTCATGAAAATATGCATTACAGAAATTTGCACACTAGGACCTTCTGCCTGTAAAGACCACTTTTCTGTCTCCCTTGAGCGGTCTTACAATAAACATTTCACTATATGTAGAGAGTCCTAGTCAATCTAAGCATAAATGAAATCTTATATTGCTATTGCTAACTATTTCTTTGGCAGTAATGAATCAATTAATGGGTATAACTATTCGATCCAAATATTGTAGGATGCAGAAGGTAGGAGGCATGGTGTATATTTCGTCTGTACCGGACTAGAATTTCTGAGAGTCAGCACTTACCAATGGTAGGGTTGCGGTAGGCATAGGCAGTAAGAACTCTCCTGAGGGCTGCTATACCTAGCTCTGACTGGAAGGCAGGGTGCTCAGGTAGGGATCTAAAGGAAATCACAATTAAAGCATATTAATCAAGATGAATTATTACAGATTAATTACAATATTGTGGTAAATAATTTTCTTATCAGCCGCTGCATACAAGTGTATTTCTTCCTAAGTTTAACCTATTATTGTACATCCATATGTGTACTCACTGATTATCATACAAAGTTTAATGCATCATATACATGCATATACATTTTTTGATTGATTGATTGAATAGGTTTATTGAAATTTTGAAAAGAAAATACTGAACATGCAGCACAAAAGCTAGTCAAAGCTGCTCATTTTACAATGCAAAACATACAGAATACATTGATACAAAACAAGATAAAAATCAAAATGTGTTATAATTGTAAATGCGTGAAATAAATATATCATCAAAGGCAAAAATCAGGATTACCTGTGTAGGTCTCTCTCTATCTCGTCTGTCGCGATAGTCTCCTTTCCCAGACTCTTTTCAACTAGCGACTGGTAGTAGCCTGGTTGGGTAGCCATCTAATGGGTCAGGAGATGAAAGTAAAATTCAAAGGGATATTGATAATACCTTCGATGACGTTTCACAAAACTTGTCATCAATAACAAATGACATTTTTTGTTACAAGCAACTGAAATCCTTGCTTCTGATTGGTTATCAGCAGATTTGTCACTGATTTTTGTCATTTGTCATTGGAAAAAGCTTTGTGAAACGGGTCCATGTTCAAAACTTGAATAGATAAATACCAATGCAAGCAAACACAGTCCTGACACAGGGGCTAACCATATTTTTAACCAGGGGGGGGGGGTATGATATACTGTAGTTGCCAAATGAATTTCATAAATAAACACTAAATTACTCAGGCACAACCTGAGTGGGGATAAGATAACAATATAAGGCCTAAAAAAGAATGATGTTGTATTGCCCTTTAGGTGCTAGCACCTGCGTTGGTTGGTTGAATTTTGTTTTTTTGTGCCTTTTTTTCCTCTTTGGGCTGATATTTGTTTCTAAAAAGACTTTAAAAAATAAATTAAAAAAAAGCCGACCGTAGATTGTAAATTGTTTGGGTCGGTCGCAAAGGGCAATATGACAGACTGATCACTTAGCTTGAGAAAGTCTACAAGAGTGGATGAAAGCTTGCATAAGAAATTTAAGGTTGGTAGAAGCTTAAAAACTACATGTTAACATCTTTTTTGTTTTGGCCTAATTTATGTATGATTCAAAAATATCCTATGGGTGGGGATAAGTTGATATAGTAATAGGACTTACCTCATTGATGGCTCCAGAGTATAGCATCCACATCTCGCCTCGTATGCTGTCAGGTAGACCCTTGACGATCAGATGCTGGGTCTCTACCGTACGATACATGCATACACCCCTGCAAAAAAACAAAAAAAAATCAATAATAATAATAATAATAATCTGGATTTATATAGTGCTTAATACGAAATACCGTCTCGAAGCGCTTTACAGATATCGTTACCCCGGTCATCAGATTCATTCACGCACAATGTGCACCATCTCCACTCCCTGGGGAGCATTCCTACCATGTGGTCATCATGATGGCATATGGCAATTACCAAAAGAAATGCTTTCATCATCCTACCAGGTCCCCATTACTCTCTTGGGTATTGAGTGGCAAGTTTGGATTAATACCTTAGCCCTTGACATTCAAGTCAAGTGCTTAAAGGCCCACTGCACTACTTGAAGCTACTTGCGCCCTCTATATAACAAACAATGCCTAATCGGTGACCATTGGTCCCCCATGATCCTCTTTTTCTTATGTTAACTGAGAGCTGAGTTGATGAGATAACCACCTGTCCGGTGACCTTGTAGGGCAGTCTAATCCCTCCTGTAAACTATGGCAGATAAGCTTTAAACCATTTTTCAATGACACCTCTACACCCCCTGGGTGGGAATAACATGACAATCAACCAATCAGGTTTGGATTTGTTATTTTCGTTGTTCATGTTAGTCGATCGAGCCTAACCCCTTAAACAGCTAAACAAAGTATTTTGGTACAAATCAGTTAAGAAAATGTATAAAAAACAAAATAATGAATTTGATCATCTGACCATTCTCTATTTCTCTTTTTCGTATGTTGTATTTCTTCATATCTCTATTAATTTTACTGATACCATTCTTTCTCACTCTCTTTCTCCCTCTCTCTCTCCCTCTCTCTCTCCCTCTCTCTCTCTCTCTATGTCCCATTCCCTATTCATTCCCCCTCATTTGCTTTGTGTTTTCCTGACTCTCCCTATAGATCAGGCCTTCTCAACTAGTTTATTAGAAGTGCCAAAATGAAAAGAATTTTAAGTTGAAGTGCCAACCTGTATGTTTGATCTTGCTGCGAGAGAGCGTAGCGATCGATTCGACAACGAACGGGGGTGCAGGGGGCAGAGCCCCCTGAAGCTGATTTTTAGGGCTTTCTAAAGGTCCAGATGTGGCATTTTAACACCTTTTTATTCCAAAATATTTCGATCTTATTTCTTTTACAATTCCTGGGTACATTCACACTGGAGGTAAATTTATATGTAGTTATTTCGGTGCAATACAAACAGGAATTGTCCAAATTAAGTGAAAATCAAACAAACAGAAACAAGATTTTTCCAGAGATTGGCAATGTTAAAATTGGTAGCACATCGTCAGCTTATTTTTGTTTAGAGCTCAGGATAATTTAAGAGTCGTATAGAACAGTTCAAAAAGGTTAAATAACCCTTTTTCCTTGTTTGTTAAGTAGACATTTTGGGTTCAAATTCGACTGGGTCTTTTTGATTTTGCTGAGTTTTTAATTCTAATATACAATTTTATTGTTTTTTTGTTTTTTTTTGTCCTCCTTTTTTTTGTTGCAACAGTCGCGCGCCTTTCCGACTGACCGCGCGCGCCACAAGTGGCGCGCGCGCCGCCAGTTGAGAAGGCCTGCTATAGATCTACATATACATGTATTTCTTTCTCCGTCTCTTTCCTATCCTCTCTTCTTCTTTTTCTTCTCTCTCTCTCTCCACCTCTCCCCCCCCCCCCTCTCTCTCTCTCTCTCTCTCTCACTCACTCTCCCTACATACCTTCCATACTCCTTGAAGTGCATGTTCCATAGATGTTCTTTCACCGACTCTCTGGCCGAGATCTCATCTGACCCCCGTCGATTGAACAGCTTCACTAAGGCAGGTTGGAGCTGGAATGCCATGCTGTGATTGGCTGGTTCGCTGCTTGTTTCACCAGCTGCAATGAATATTCATTACATATTCATGAATATCGAATATACTATGAATATTCAATATACCTCAAGAATATTCAATATACATCATGAATATCCACACACATGACTTTTAAATATATCTACAACCTGTATATCAAATACACATAACAAGAATATTCAATACATGTACAAGTACATTTGCAGCAGGGTTCTACATGTAAATTGGTTGTATGTTTAGATTAATGGACATGCTTTGCCTTCACATTATTAGTCTGTATACATTGCATGAATCCTGATAATGATCATCTTAAGTAATGTTTTATGGAAATGAAAGCAAAGTAAATATTATTCTTGAATACTAGTACATGTAATGTTATTAAATTATTATGACAGATCTGTATTACAAAATAACAAATAATAGAGGTTAGACTGTTAAAGGCAAGCAATGGAATATCAAAGAGATACATAATGCAACATGAAAATTGGATGAGTTTCTTAATAACACACAGGGATAGTACCCTTTCAGAAAGAAATATAAAACAAAGCTAAGCAAAAATAATTGGTTCAATTTTCCCATGATATAAGATGTTGTAAATGTACAGTATAGGTCAAATAAAAAGATGGAGTGTTTATATATTTGCTTCAAATAGATAAAGCAAGAGAAATGTCAATGTGTGAACGGACCCATAAAAACACACACGATTACTATGGAACTCACATGCACTATTATCATAATCGTTGAGGTCTGTTAACACTGTAGAGTAATACATCATGGATAAATAGTTTTTATATATTTGCTTTAAAACAGATAGAGCAAGGAAAATATCAATGTGTATGAACACACCCACCAAAACACACACGATTATTATGGAACTCACATGCACTATTATCATAATCGTTGAGGTCTGTTAACACAGTAGAGTAGTACATCATGGATGAGTACTCTTTAAATATTCGCTTAAAGACAGATAGAGCAAGGGAAATATCAATGTGTGTGAACAAACCCACCAAAACACACACGATTACTATGCAACTCACATGCACTATTATCATAATCGTTGAGGTCTGTTATCACAGTAGAGTAATACATCATGGATGAGTAGTTAGTAGATGCAGGAGAAGGGTCGGGATCTGATGCGAAGATGAAGCCAGATTGAACAAAAGAAAACATAAAATCATGGAAATTATTTCCTGAAGAGTTGAAAGAATCAGTTCCCCACTTCAACTACCAACGAAGATAACAGTACAGGGTGGTGAAGTGCGACGGCATCAAAAAACTTTTTTTGAGAATTCTCAATTTTTACTTCATTTTCTGAAAGAGCATCAAAAATAATGTCCAAATGTTGAAAATCAATTGAATATGTGAACATCTGAATAAAAAGATTGCCTATAGGAACTCTAATTATTCAGATGTTCATATCTCAGCTGGTTTTCAACATTTGGACATTATTTGTGATGTTCTTTCGGAAAATGAAGTAAAAATTGAGAAATTCTAAAAATACATTTTTATGATGTCATAGCTTCGGTACTCTATAGATAATGTCTATAAAAACGAGTCTGAAATAAAGTTTAGAAAAACATTACACAATGTCCAAAACTTTTGGTTTGTGAAAGAACATAGGGCTTCGCATTTTGCCTTGTGGTGTTAGCTTCAAGACTTCAATGCTTAGTTTTACAACACTTTGATGAGAAGCATTTCATATATCAACAGTCATGCTCTGAAGTTGTGGACTGATTTCTGCTCTTTCTTCCTATGGTAGCTTGGAAGATAAAAGCACAAAACAAAATGTTCTGATCTTTTTTATAATCGTTCGACACTTGTATAATTGAATACAATACAAAATTTGTTGAAACATAACCACTTGATTCTGTATGATGTTTAAACATTTAGGAACTGGTTATTATTAACCTTTCCTTCTCTTCTTTTAATCAGTTTTTCAATCCTTATCTAACTCGACATTTTTCAATTAATGAAACTTTCAGAATAAAATGAACTACATGGAAAAAAGGGAATGACACAAGGGAAGCTGGAAAAATGAACACAAAGGTAAACATGCATTTGTTATGAAACAAAAATGTTGAAAGAATAGAAAAAGTATATACCGGTATATAACTTGTGGTAACATGTATTATCATCTATATCTTTAGCGCAGTACCCGGATGACTGACCAATATTGTTTTCGTATTGCTCAATCATTCAGGAACTTCAACTATTGATATCGATATTGATATCACACACAAAAAAGCCATATTTACTGAGTTAAGTCAAATTTTGTTATTTCGCTAGTCAGCCTGATATAGATCATAATAATGACATTATATGTTTTTGTTTTTGTGTGATACAAGAAAATATTGCTCTCGCTATAAAAATATTGCACTCATCTCCGACTCATTCAATATTGTCATAGCTCAAGCATTATATTCTTGAATCACACTCAAAGCCATCTACCGGTAATATTATATAAGAATCTTTAGCAATATTAGTAATGCTCTGTAAAAGGTAATCATGCAAATTTAAATAGACACTGTTACATCAATACTGCTTGTAGTAGTTGTAGAAATACATACACAAGCACAATAGTATTAAAAACATTTTTAGAAGCCACTTTTTGTAGTAGAATCAGCAAAGGAAATAGGCTCAGACTAGCAATCAAAATTAAATAAATTTTATGTTAAGGTTAAACTGTAAAATCATCAAAAGAAACAAAAGAAACAAAAGCAGTTATTTTCTGAGCCATCATAAGGTACAAACACATATAGATATAGTTGATATGACATGGTGGGAAAGAGGATTTGAAAGGCAGAGATGTAGTATAAGAGGTGGGCTGACACATGCTTCGGCAAAAATCAAGCCAGGCTTTATTTCATGACTGTTCCAAAGGCTAGACTTGGTTCTGTGACTGTGTTTTATGGTAGGTTCAGTGTTAGGGTTAGGGGTTTAGAACAGTGTAAGGTCCAATGTTGAAGCTAGGACTTTGGTTAGTGATGGCAAAGCAATTGTTGCCAAAGCATGTGTTGTACACTGAACAAAGAAGATACATTTATTTAAAAGATCAAGAACCATAAACTATTTACTGCCAGGTATTGAGAAAGAAACAAAGCATGGGGAAGTTTCACAAAGATCCCAAGTCGAACTTCAGTTTAAGTTAGACTTAAATATTATGGAGAGCCATTTGTAGCCTTAAAAATAAAATGTATTCAAAAGCAAAAATTCAAGTATCTTAGACTTTTTATAAACTCCTCATCAAGAACATGAAATCTCCTTGATAATAGAAAATATGAAAGATTTGAATCAACATTTTATGCTTTTAAAATAACTTTTACAAAATATTTTCATAGATGCTTACGGGTTTCCATAACTTTTAAGTCCAACTAAGAGATAAGTTCAACTTAGGATCTTTGTGAAACACCCCCCATGGACACACAGAATGCTCCTTGGAGTTTTCTTACGACCAAAAACACACACACAAAATTTCCAACGTTTTGACTCTTACCACTCTCGTTGCTACCGTAGCTTGTACCCAGTATGCTTTGCAAGGGGTCAGAGGTCGTGCGATGTGGGATTGTCATACTGCCTTCGTTCGACGAGGCTATAGAGATGCTGTCTCCCGTAGGCCTGTATAACCATAGCAAAATCAAATAACAGTATTTATTTGCTTGAAGTTGTGTGAAACTTCCCTACATTGGTTAATGGCATCGTTTAACAATATTAAATCTGAGATGCATGGGCCTACGTGTTATCAGTATTCGTGATATGGTGTGATATTAAGGCCCTAAAAAATTGTGCCTCAAAATGATCATGAAGTGCCTCAAAAAAGTAACAATCTTAGAGTGACCGGTTTTACCATATTCCTTCTTCCCAATAGACTGTAGTGTTATAAAACCCATTAGGAAATGAAATTTCGATTTCCAATCATAAATATCTTGATAATCAGACAGGCGATCGGCTTGTAAAAGTCATGGGATTCCTGACTGACCTACAGGTTTATAATGATGATTGCAGCATGAGCTCAATCCAGGATTTTGTTTCAGAATCTGAGGCAATGTTACTGAGTTAACAAAGTCACAACTGGTATGAATACTTTAGATGTTAACTGTATATGTTTTTTGAATATTACCTTGCATTTTCAGTTGTTTTTGCCAGAAAGTCAGCAATATGCTGGACCAGAAAATCCCTTTCAGTTAGCTGGGCAAAAAGGAAAGTCATCTGTAAATAAAAGAATAGTGAAAATCAAAATCAGTATTACCACCAAAATCATCACCATAATCATCATCATCCTTATCTTCTCCGTCACCACCACCACCATCACCATCACTACCACCACCACCACTATCACCATCACCCTAGCCACCACAACCATCACCATCACCACCACCATCACCACTACCATCACCACTACCACCACTTCCACCACCCTCGTTACCATCAATTCTCCCTCTTACCTTAGTTCTAGTTGATATATGAAGTCCCTGGGTGATAAGGGATGAATTCTCGACTTTCTCTACGACTGTCACATTTCTCCACCATTATCAGCTTCCTCATCACCGCCACCACCACCACCACCGTCACCACCACCATCACCACCGCCACAACCATATCAACTCTCCCTCTTACCTTAGCTCTAGTTGATATATGAAGTCCCTGGGTGATGAGGGATGAATTCTCAACCTTCTCTACGACCGTCACATCTCTCATAGGAATTTGCACATGCACCAGGTTCTTAATCTGTAAAGAGAATGACAAAAAGAAAACAAAATATTAATTGATAAGAATGTTTCTGAAAGTCACACATTTAACACATTGTGTTTATCATCATCAAAAACATTACAAATACCAACTCAAGTAACAATATCATCTCAATAATCCTCCTCCTCATCATCATCATCATCATCATCATCATTACAATCAGCATCTCATTAGCACCATCATCATATTTAGTATCATCTTCACCATTATCATCATTATAACCACCATCGTCATCATTGTTACCCTAACCCTTCTCCTCCACAACAGCTGAATAATTTGCACCACAATGATGATGATCATCATCATAACCACCACCACCACCATCACCACTTCCACCATCATCACCACCATCACCACCACCACCACCACCACCATTACCACCACTACCATCACCACCACCATCACTACCACCATCACTACCACCATCACTACCACCATCGCCACTACCACCACCATCAACACCATCACTACCACCACCACCACCATCACCACCACCACCACCATCAGCACCACCACCACCACCACCACCACCACCACCATCACCACCACCACCACCACCACCACCATCATCAGTATCACCACCACCACTACCACCACCAACACCATCACCACTACCATCGCCATCACCACCACCACTCACCCTGCTTGCGAAACAGATGTAATTCCTAGAGAGATACATGGTACCTCCAATGTTTGACTTGTTGTACGGGGCCCACAGCGTACATGGGATATTGCCGTCCAACTTCTCGCCTACCGGTAGACGGAACACCCTCCTAACAGCCAGGATAAGAAGAGGAGGGATTAGTTCATTCATATCATATTTACTAAATTCCTACACATCCATGTACAGTAAGGTCTGTTGTATTCTGTGAGAATTTATTTTCTATCATTACCAGACTCAAGCTTATCTTTAAAATGGAGATGTGGAAATAAATTCAATTCAATTCAATTCAATTCAATTCATTTTGGTTCAATTCAATTCGATTCAATTCAATTCAATTCAATTTGATTCAATTCAATTCAATTCAATTCAATTCATTTCGATTCAATTCAATTCGATTCATTTCTATTCAATTCAATTCAATTCAATTCATTTTGATTCAATTCAATTCATTTTAATTCAATTCAATTCAATTCGATTCAATTCAATTCAATTCGATTCAATTCAATTCATTTTGATTCAATTCAATTCATTTTAATTCAATTCAATTCAATTCGATTCATTTCTATTCAATTCAATTTAATTCATTTCGATTCAATTCAATTCAATTCTTACCTGTAAGCTTCAGTTCGTGCTCGAGCATCTAGATCTCGCTTGAGGGAGGAAACCTTCTTTGGGGCTTTTTTCCTGAAGAAAAACAAAAATGTTTCATTCATAAATATCAAGATTATTATATTTTTTTTTCAATTAGAATTATTAAACCATCTAGAATAAAAATCAGTATACAAATCATGCATGTATATACATTATTAATATAGTCATTTTTACAAGCCCACACTTGCTCATATAACCACAGGTATAGATATAGCTTTCTCATGGCTGACAGGTACATGTACAACACTTATCTCACGTTTCAAACATTCCCTAAATTTTCTACACACTGCAATATTACATATGGGAGCATTCACATACTTGACTTTTGAGCGATCTGGCAGATTGAGGTCTTCTGAGAATCCTTCCTCCGATAGGAGCTGTCTCATGGCCAGGTTAGCGAGCTGCTGCATGAGTTGGAACGTCTCCTCGGGATGGACGAACATGGAGAAGTAGGAATGCCCCTCTCTCGTCTTGGCTCTGATGCTCTCCGGGAAGAGGATAGAGTTACTCCTCTCTAGGTGCTGGGGTGGGGGAAGGGAAAGGGAGATGGTGAATAAACTAATACAGTCAAACCTGCTTTAGTGACCACCTGTCTACAAAGACCACATTTTTTTGTTTCCCTTGAAAATGGTTTCTCATTGAAACGTGTACTAAAGGAACCTGTCTACAAAGACCACCTTCCTACAAAGACCACTTTTTGTGTTTCCCTTGGGAGGTTGCTTTATTCATATATTATACAGGTTTCACTGTATTTTTCTTTATATACTGCCTGCCTAGTGTCAATTCTCAAAAAGAGATATTTTAACAAAACATGCCTGTTAGAGTGTATTTATTTGTAGAGTCAAAGGAAATATATCCATTTAAAGCCCCTCTGCCCTAGTTTGGCCAGGAGTGATTAGACCTCCCTGCATGGTCACTGACAGATGGTTATCTCATCAAATCAGCTTTCAATTAACATATTAAGAAAAAGGGTATCATGGGGGACCAATGGTCACCGATTAGGTATTGTTTGCTATTTAGAGGGCGCAAGTAGCTATAAGTAGTGCAGTGGGGTTTTAAGAGTATTGCACACAATTAATGCGCCTTTGTATTGTACAGACTTAGTGGAAGAGGTCCTGGGTATAAACTTACAGTAACCTCAGTCCACCTGATCTGGAGTCTGGACTCGGTCCCCATCAGGAAGGAATAGAAACAGAAGTGGTCCACGCTGAGGTAGAGCCAGCCTTGACGAGGGACGCGACCCTTCCAGTAACTGCATGAGTAATCTACAGAGGTAAAAAGAGAAAGCCTTTTTATATTAATGCTAAATATATTACTTGTTGCGGATATTGTATCAAAATATTATCGCTAGTGACATTCGTTTGTCTCGCAATGTATGGTCAACAGGGGATCTAAAAGATCACAACGTTTTGTGTGCTGCTGCTATCACCTGACAAAGTGTAGCAGCGGCACTCGAAACGTTGTGATCTTTTAGATCCCTTGTTGATGATACATTGCGAGACAAACGAATGTCACTAGCGATATTATTTTTGATAGATTTTTATATTGTTTGAAGAAAAAAAAATAACATGATATTTGTCTGTGTTTTTTCCAGAGCTCTAATAGTATTGTATCTAAACAGTAAGATCCCAAAATGAAAATGTTATATTTTCATTGCATCGGCATCATTGGTATTTTTTACATAGTTCTATTAGAAAGGTCTTTATAAAGAAATAAGTTACAAGACAAACAACCATATACTAGTTGATTATCATTATTGCCCCAGACCGCCTCAATCCTTTAAAACATTGAGCTTGAAAGCATCTCCAAATGTTTTGAATAGAAATTTCTTGTCCTTTTACTTGAAATTTAAAATGGCTAAATTATTTGCGGGGATTAATGGGACACTCATTAAAATAACAAATAAAAGGGGAACAGTATCTTAAAATGACTCATAGTACATCAACGATCAACAACAAATTTGTCTATTGAACTCTAACTTTTGTGATACCTTTTGTGAAAACATGGTAACAGAACAGCATCGCTTTAGTTTATTATTTTCTTTCTTAGGCCTCAAGTAATTGAAAAATATAATTTTTGTTTAGAAATCAATTTAATTTGTACTTACAGTTGACAAGCTTCTCGTCTTCGGGTATGTTGAAGAGCCGTCTCCATTTATCAGAGGCGGCCTTGAAACGTTTGCTCTCTTCATCTACACAATAAGAAATAGATGAAGGTCAACATACATGTATCAACAATCAGATGAAGAAAAGAAATGAACACTAAAGAAATTTGACTAAAAAAGATTACATGATATAAAGACACATTTGGAAAACAGTTTTGAAAATTGGAGGTTATTCACAATACACTCACAGAAAAGTGACAGTGTTTAGTGTTTAAGCAAGCAATGACTGGTCTGATCAACAAAAATTTGTTGGGCTTTAATTTACTTTCAAAGATAACTTACTACCTGCATGTACAGAGTTTATAATTGAAAAACAAGTCAAAGGTCGAAAGTTATCCCAATTAACCTGTCTTGCCTCTTTGAAAAAGACCCCTTAAGAAATACCTCTTCCCTCAGTAATTTACCTATTTTTAGGAGTCTATGTATTTCATGTTTCTCTTAACATTCTGTATTTTTGCAAGCGCTATGGTACTTTTTGGTTTTAGCGCCCCTAAATGATCATTATTATTACCCAGACTGATTGCCTACATGAACACACACGTTGCAGTATTCAACTTCTGGTGGTCAATGGCACAGGGGTGATAGTGAGCACTAAAAAAAAAAAAGTTTTTTTGTTTTCCCTTAAAACCACGCCCCCCTTGAGTAAAAAAAGAAAGAAGAGGATTAGCGGGGAAAAAATGGCATCTAACAACATTCCCCTTTTTGAGTAAGAAAATTGGGAAAATTGGGAAAAAAATAGTGCAAAATATGGAAGAATAGGGAAATAAAAGGGAAATCGGGATAAAATAGGTAAGAAGAAAAAAATGTGGTAAAAAAAAAAAAAAAATCTGGATTTAAAAAAAAAAAAATTTTAATCAGGAAGAAAACAAAAATTGGGAAACCGATTTAAATCGGGTTTTTATCAGGCCTGATGACAGCAAAATGCACAATATCCCGCAAATTGCAACTGCGGGCTGATGAAGATGCAAATTAGCTGGATAATTTGCGATCGGTATAGTTTAAATAGCGGGTTATTCGGCAATCTCGAGCTGATGAAAACAGGCCTATTGTGTCTTTAAGGAATTAAAAGTTTTTACCTTCTTTAGTCTCTGTGGGTGTTGCCGTTTCTACGTTGGCCACCAGGCTCTCTATCTTACACTTCACAAACTCGGTCACATCCTCGTCTGCTTCAAAGTTATCTGGAGTAAAAATATAAATAGTAAAAATAGAGGTAAATAAAGATAATACTAGACATAGAGACATAAATTAAACCACTACTAACATCCCAAACAACCAAGTAAACATATAAATAATAATATGACACAAAATATAA